ACATATTAATAAGAAAAACAATTGTTGCCCCAACATTTCAAGAAATAGAACAGTGAAGGCAGTCTAAAAGAAATGATTTTCCTTATCGCGAAACGTCAAAATCTTTACGTTTTGCAAAGAATTTTTTCCAATTTGATTAGTCAAGACACTTTTATAGGCAGACTGAGTGCAGCTTTATCAGCAATGAGTCTCGTTTCCGGGGTTTCCACTGCACTAATCTCCTTGTCATTTTTTCACTACTCACTCACTAAGAGATGATAGTGATGCAAAGTTCAAAACTGATGAAAAAGTTGACTAATCGTGATTTGAGGTACAGTATTTTGTAGTACAGACAGTGAAACTTCGAGAAATGGATATGGGTCAGGTACCTGGATATTGGATTTTCCCCATATCCCTTCGACTTTGTTGTTTGATAATCTTTTTTCAGGACATTATATAGTTTATCTCTGGAATCAGAAAATGAGCCAAGTTCTTTTGAGTCAAGTTCTTTGTCTTTATCTGCTTAGTGTTAATATAGATATGTATTTATATCACTTTATTACGGTAAAGGTAAAATTTTGTTTCAACAATTTGAGAAAGAATCTGATGTTTGATTCGTTGTTTGATATTGTTGCGTTCTCCCGTTTCCCTCGACTGTTTTAATATTTGATTGCTGGGAAGAGCTGCTTGGTTGAATCTTGCGTTTTCGTCTAAAGGTTTAAGGGATTTTCGAAATTCAAACTTGAAAAAGTATGCGTCATAATAATGACAAAAAAACTTACAAAAGCTTCGCTAACACAGCATTTCGATAGTCTCGAATGAAATAGATCATTGATAATGCATCCATAAGGGGATACATTGAGACAGGGATGAATAAGTAGCTACTAAAATATTAAATTGGTTTAATTCTTGATTTAATGAAGATCTAATATTCATTATTGAGATGGTTTCGCGTTTAAATATTAAATCAATCGATAAGTAATGAGCGTCTCCTTTATTTACAATTTTGCAAAAGCTAAACCATAGATCTTTTTGGTATTTTAGTATGATAATTATCAAAGATATTAACATTATTGAACATAATTCTAACTCAATATCAGATTGGCTGAATTTATCTTTATCTTATAAACTTTATCGGAATATATGAAAGGTTTACTAACCATTCGCCAAGATAGATGTTAAAGATCGCCGAAAATTGGGTGACTAAACATGGGATACCCTCGAGTACAAAAGGACAAGTTGTCTAAAGAGAAGATTCTTGAGAAATCCAATTTGATAAGGTTTTACATAACTTCATTGCATCTAGAATTGAATCCAAAGTTTCTTGACTCACTTGAGCGATAAGTGCATGCAAGAGATCGGTTTGCATCCTCCTTGTCCGGTTGCTCATTTGAGTATTTTTCAGCGCTTTATGAATATTGACCGTGAACCAAACCTGGCACCTCTCACATGTTAAAAAATGAATTCAAAGCTTACCATTGCAAAAAACTTGCACAGCAACTGTGTGATGATGATCGATGTGGTCATTGCATTGTGAAATCGATATTTCTCAACGCCATCCGTGTCATTGTACTGAAAATCTTAAGCCCTAGATCTCTGGAAATCTTAATCTCTGAATTTCTTAAGTCTATATTTTCCAAACCGTGTACAAAGCGCCGAACACCGAGATCTTTTCCACGTCGACATCGTAAAAGCTTTGGAATTCGTCTTTTATATACCACTAAAAGAGTTCATTTCATTAACTATTGATCTAGTATTGTAGATTTAATATTTATCTAGTTAGACTTAATACAATTCCTCCCAAACTAACCAAATTGTTCCTGAGTGACCAATTTGCTTGTGTCTCGAAGCACCAAGCCCATAGAAACACATCGCACAGTATGTACAGGCCCAAGCCAAGGCGAACCGAGAACTTCTTGAACATCGGAATCAATCGGGCTCTAAATTTCTTTAAATCATCATTTTGGCTTTGCAAGGCAGGTAAATATCTTGAAAATCAACTCACTGACAAACAGCGATATATCGATAGAGAAAATGAAAGACGATGAGCACAATTTGCTTGTCATAGAGGCACAGCCAATAGATCAGCATCCACTAGAATCTTTTTATTGGAAGCCTTTAAGTTTCTGTAAAACTTCAAAGAGCAATATAGGATTGTTTTAACTAACCTGTCCAAATGATTTACTGATGAAGGGACTTAATGGACCAGCGACGTAGAATACATAGGCATGCCCAACTATGTGAAGACCCTAGAACATTTGGTTGGTTGAAATATTTAAGAAGCACTCGTTTTTTAGCTCTAACATATCTACTCGAATCCTAATCTTATTAATAATAAGTTTTTTACTGGGTCCTTCGTTCAGTTTGTAATTCTAGCAATACCGGCATCAATATTAGATGAAAAAGCGGGTAGATGATGTTGAAACCAGCAAATAGCATCATTAAGTACTTGTACTTGCCGAATTCAGGACGACTGAAAGATAAAGACACAATTTTTTCTCTTTGAAAGCGACTACCTATAGTTGGCAATCAAAAACAACAGCAGTGAATTCGCCAGCATCGCAGAGGAACTCGAAAAATGACACACAAGATGGCCGATCTCCAAATGAGCCACCATTTTGGGATTTTTTTTGATGGCTTTGAATCAACTAAACTCGATTCTGATGATGAGAACGGAGAGAGAAACTTGGAAATAATGAAAACGATCTAAAAATCTATTATAATCTAGTATTCTATTGGATTGTCCAGTTATGAATGCGCGTTTTTACTATTTTGTAAATTTCTCAAGATACCGAAATCAAGAAAAAGATATATATGAGTATTATTCGAAAGCTGAAGATCTCCTCTACATTTTAATATAAAAATTTTTTGGAATTTGTCCAGCTTTTGGGCAAATTGACTGCACAGAAGAAGAGGCGGCCAAAAAACGAAAGGGTGCCTTTGGATCGTTTTGGCTCCGCTCAAATTGAGTTAACCGTTTTATGTTTGGCCAATAGATATATCAATACAACTTTTTTTTTAATAACAATTTCAGAGCATCTTTACTTTTCTTTTCTTTTCTGGGCGGTTATTTTACACCATAAAACTTGAGGAATAGCTAAGCTGAAATGGGTTTTTCGAAAACGACCTCTCCCTTTGTGTAGTCAATTTCCCAAAAAGTTGAATGATTTCAAAAAGTTTTTTTATTCCAAAATGTAGAGGAGATCTTCAGCTTTCGAATGATATATAACCCTCATATACATCTGTTCGATATCTTGAGAAATTTATAAAATAGTAAAGACGCGCATTCTGGACAACCTAATAGTTTGCAATTTAGACTTCTCTGCTCTCTTTTCAGTCTGGTGACGTATTTACAAGGTTGAGCTATGCCAGACAAGTCAAAGTCAGAGAAGCCAGATTCCGTCCAGAAACCGGTTTCAAACTCAACTTCAGGCGAGCCAAGGAGCTTTGTGAACCAAGCAAGACAAGAGAAGGTAAGTGAAGCTACCTTGTCAACCTTGTCAGGTCAGAACCTTGTCAATATTTGTCTTCTGGCCCTGATCTTGCCTGGTCTGATCTGGCCTTTTGAACCCTGATCAAATGAACAAAACAAAATTCAAATTTCATTGAGCTTACGGTAGCCACTCAACCATGAATACAGTAAGAACTCAACAAAACGAGTTACTAGAGCAGAAATTATTGCTGATTTTTAGAGATTTTCGTCCTTTTGAACACTCCAAAATTTTTTAACAACTGCTTTCATAGAAAAAACTTTGTATGTGCTTGTTGTCTTTGTGCACTCGAGCGTGAAATCGTTGTTGGATTAATCATAAAAATGCATTCAGAATACAGATTTGCGTTTTCAACAATTACGGATTTGTGGATTAGTACATAGCTGATGTAATTGTAGAGTGATTTTGAAAGAGAATGTTGTACCGTAGGTGAATTATGAAAACTAATGATCCTTTGCACTAAATCTGCTTAAAATCTACCAGAATATTCATGATTTTTAAATTTAAATACCAAATCTGTGAGTGTAAATCAAAAGCATCGTTTATTTTACGGATTCCAACCCTGGAGGTTTAAACTTAACTTAACTACAAAGCTTAACTACAAAGCTTAACTATATTATTTCCTACGCAACTTCAACTCTGCTAACAATGTTTTTTGGTGTAAACGTATTAACGGTTTACATTCATGCAACATCTTTCAGCAAAGTATTTCTTTTTAATTCGATGTCGAGGGAAACATTTTTATTTAATCAAGGACAAGAAAGTTCAGACTACTGTTATTTGCTTGCGAAAAGGAAAAAAGAAGCCACAGAAGAACAAAAAACTCACTACATCGAGTTCGATACTTTAGAATTTTGAATTCTATGGAATTTTGGAAAAAGTTTAGATAAAGATTTCTATAATGAATGCACAATGATATCACTGTTTGCTCTAGTGTTTGTGCTTAGCGAGTTTCTTTTAAAAGGAAGATAACTTGGCTATCATCTTATTCGGTTTACGAATCAAGCATCTCTTTACCAACAAAATTCAAAACAATTACTTGTACAGGTTCAATTATTTTTTTGTTATGATCTCCGCGTATCCCCTGTCGGATTTTCGATGACGTATTTTGTGAGAGATTAGAGTTGTGAGATCGAAGATAAAAGTTCAAACAAGATACACAAACTTACCAAGCTTGTTTGCTAAGAGGAAAAATTGCTAATTGTAAGATCTAGGTGTGAGCTAGAGCTTTCAAAGTTTAGAGTTAGAGCTTTTAATTCAAAATTAAATGCTTATTCCTTATCAACTAAACAACTTTCTATCAGCTTTGCTTTTTTTGGAATCAATCCAGACTCAATTCTTTACTTTTCTTTCCCTTTCCCTTTCATTTGTTTTTTCATTTCTAGTGTTTTACATCATAAAAAGCAAATTGCTTATCACAATTTATTGCATTCGCGCCGAATGGGTGCTCAAATTATGGCTGAGAGCCGGTGATTACATAAAAAAGCTCATTTCAATAGTTATTGGATTGGATTGATCGATGAATGTTTAGTAGACACGGCAAAGTTTGGGCAACTCGATGCGATCGGTGAGAGACATTGGAAGGGAACGAATCTGAAAAAATGAAGGAATTGAAGGAGATTGGATATTTGATAGGGAATAGGAATTGGAGTACTGTAGTGTCTATTGGAATTGTAATGCTCAAGCAGTTAAGCTCTTCAATCAACAACTTACAGACTGTGTCATGATCCTCAACTATTTAAGCACTCTTACTCGATCTAAAGTAGGCTAGCAGACTAACGTAGTAAGCCTCTGCAATCTTCAGTCCAATATCGCCATTTGTCTATCCTTTTCTCCCTTTCTGTTCTTTTGTTTTTGCCCTTCACACTCACCTCCTCCATGATCGACTCCTCTCCACGCTTAAGGCCGTTCACAATGCGGCGAGTGCGGCGATCCGAGCGTGGAAGGCAAGCCAATTTCACCTTGCGGTTCTCGGTCTCAATGAGCTCATCTCCTGGCTGGCATTTGGGTTGTTCCTCCATCGAGAAGCAAGTCTTTCCCTCACGCTCAACCATCACGATCTCGTTTTCGGGCTCTGGAAATAGATGGAATGAGATGGAGCAAGTGAGACTCAGACTAGTAGTTCAATGTCTAACAATCACAGTTATTCTTAGAGTCAGACTATGCCCAATCCCCTCGCCTCAACCAACCGTAGGTGTTCTCCTCCTCGTTGCGGATGTTCTTGCGGCTGATGTGCTTCTTGAGGTTCTTCTTGAGCATTTTGCGTGATCGCTTCTCTCCCATGTTCTCCTCCTCGAAATCTTCACGGGGATTCCAGAAAGATTCCTCGGAATCGTAGCGTTCCTCCTCATCAGACTCAACTCCGTAGTTCTTCTTCTCCTTCAATTTCGACTCCTCGACCTCGCATTCGTTGTCACGGCGAAGCCACGAGCGGTGGAATTCCTCGATATCCTCTGAAAAGGATGGTTGATTAGAGAAATGATTTAAGTATTCAGATAATGAATCAGTGACGAATCTAAGCAATCACTTCTAGGCACTGCTAGTGAATCTAGACCACTAGCCCTAGGTTAACTTCTATCCTAACACCTTCAATCCATTCAGCTCCATCTCAGCTCAATTCCAATTCCTATCCAATTCCCATCCACTTTCTTTTCCACGCACCAGTCTCCTCGTTGTCGGCACGGCGGAACTCGTTGTCGCGGAATCCATCGAAATGTCCGCAAAGTCCGCATTGGGTGTTCTCAGTGCGCTTGTCAGCCTTGATCTCGACCTTGTATCCATCGAAACGGATGGTCATCTTTGGGATGGTGATCTCGCATGATGATTCTCCTAAAGACCCACTCATCTTTCAATTTCAATTCAAAACCAACCGATAAGCTTGATGCCCATATCGTAGAGAGCCTCCTCGTCCTCGACACGGCGTCCATCAACCTTGCAGACGATCTTCTCTTGCTTCAACTCGCACTCGATTTCCTTCTCTTGAGTCACAATCTTGAGCTTCTTCTCCTCAGAGTTCTTCTCCATGTTCTTCATCATCACAACGTATTCGGGCTCTTGAGAGCAATCCTTGGCAAGCACCGAATAGCAAGTGGTCAATGGGGTCTTGTAGAGAAGTCCATCAAAGGTCGACACCTTGTTTGAGGAAACCTCGCACTCGGAAGTTGGCATGAAGACCGAGGCCCACGAGCTCTTGTTGTTCAATCCCTTGAGGGAGACACGGCGAGATCCGAGGGACATCAATGGGATACGGATTGGGGAATAGGCCTCCTTGACGATGAGTTTCTCTCCATTGCACTCAACGGTGAAGTTGACGCGACGGCACTCCTCGGGCTCGACGACGGCCTCGATCTTGAAGCGGCGAGAGTCGGAGCTGATCGATTCGACTTGTCCAGACATGTAGAACTCGGACTTCAAGAGGTCGAAGAGACGACGGAAGACCAATTCGTTGTCCTTGGAGAGGTCCTTGTCGACGAGGACGACGTACTTGTTGAGCTTGGAAGCCTCGCGGAGCATGTCGTATTTCTCGAGTCCCTTGTTGCTCTCGTAGTCGATCTCCTTGACGAAACGGGCCATCTCTTGGGATTGAGTCTTCTGGAGACGGATGGTCATCTCGTTCTTGTCCTCAGATCCCCAACGACACTTGAGGGTTCCCTCGACTTCTTTGTGGCGCATCTCCTTCAACTCCTTGATGGTCTTGGGGGATTCGGGGAAGACGAGCTCTCCGCTCATTTGGAGTTCCCAGTCGCGGCGCTCCTTCTCGAGAAGTGGCGAGCGTTTGCATTGAAGATCGAAGCGGCACACCTTGATCTCCTCATCGCACGATCCTTTCACGGACATCTCTCCCTTGATGGTCTTTGGTCCTCCGACGGTGTAAAGGCGGAAGTTGACGCGTCCCTCGTGTCCCTTCAACGATTTCATCGACTCGTAGTGCTTCTTGGAGTGGGTGCGGCGAGAGACACGCTCATCAGCACGCTCCTCAGACTCGTCAGAGGTCTCCAAACCGAACTCCTTCTCAGTGAAGATCTCATCGTAGCGGGGTGACTCGTACTCGGATGAGGCCATCTTGGTGTACTTGGGCTCAACCTCGAGGACGATCTCTTTCACGGACTCGGCGGTGGGGACAAGGACAATCTGGAAATTAGAGTTTTGGCTCTAGATCTGTGTTTAGCTTAGGTCTTGTGTACTATTCTGAGCTCCCTAGATAGGGATCCTGTTATTCGATCAGTTTTTGATCAATTAAGCTCATCTTTTCCGAATCTAACTCTACTTGACTCAATCACCATCGTGCTAGAAGTTTTGCCTTGTCTATCTCATTGTCATCATTACCTGGACGTGGTTCTCTCCGAAGATGATCTTCCTGTCGAAGGCGTGGCGGTGGACGGATCCGATGACCTCAGTGCGGAGACCGAAGTGCTCCTCTCCGTAGGATTTCTCGTAGTGGACAGAGGTCTTCTCGAACGATGGAATACGGATGGTCTTCTCCTCAAGAACTGGCACTTGCTTGTTGTTGAATGAGCGGACGAAAGTGGTTGGGCGAGACTCGACGAGGAGAACACGTTTCTCCTCCTTGGGAAGACGGAGGACAGCCTTGAGTTGTTGTTTCTCATCGTTGTACTCGACTTGTCCGTGGATTGGAAGAGTTGATTGGATCGAGTGGAAGACACGGGATCCGATGTCCATCTCGGGGGAGAAGACGGTCATTTCGGTGACATGGGTGGAGACGAACGAGGGCTCCATCTCGACACGGAGAGACATCTTCGGGGAGATCTCAGCCTTGATGTGGGCCTTGATGTGGGCGACGGTTGGGAGCTTGGAGGTGACCTGGAAATTATAGGAATAGGTGGATTCAGATTAAATGTTGATTATTGATACCAAGAGATAAATTCGGACATAGGCAAAAGATTATAAGTCAATTCTTGGATATTATCGATCCGTAGTGAATTATGGTACCGGTAACTGACTATTAGGTCTAAGAATACTGTATCTAGGAACTCTAAAAGATTACTGTACCTGGAGTGGGAGTCCAAGGGTGGTTGGGACGATGCGGACGTGCTCGTAGACGTATCCAGAGAGAACTCCCTCGAAACGGAATCCCTTGGCGATCTTGCGGATCATCTCGGATGAAGAGATCGACGAATCAGAGCGGACGATCTTCTCAATGAGTTGCTCCTCAACGGGAAGGACAGCATAGTCCAAGTTCTTGTAGCGGATGTAGAGCATACCGAAGGCATCCTCTCCATTCTCGTTTTGGCGGGATTGGATCTTCATCTGACGAACGAGTTCCTTGAGGGCCTCACGGAGTGGAGCCTTGGAGGAAGAGCGTTGTCCGCGGAGAACGATCTCGGTCTCGGTTTTCTCGAGTTTCTTGAGGAGTGGGATGAGCACTTGATCGAGGTTATTTTGGAAGAGTCCCACTTGGACGAGGTGTTTGTTCCATTGTCCGGCAAAGACAGAGTCGACCGAGGCGAGAAGTTCGTGTGGGAGAACGGACTCGTTGGAGAAGACTGAGGCAACATCCATGGTCATTCCGAAGTCGAAGAGACGAGAGTACCATGGGAGATGGACATGGGTGGAGGTGGAGAGTGGAGAAGAGCGGAGCATGCGAAGAGAGACATTGATGTCCTCGGCGAGCTTGGTCTCACATGGGTTCTTCTTGGACTCGGAGAACGAGCGGAGAAGAGAGACTCCGAAAGAGCGGAGTTGGGTGGATGGCTCGATGTTGAGTTGGTGAACGATTTGATCGAGAAGGGAACGCTCGGGGCGGGAGTGGACAAGTTGGTAGAGAGCCGAGACGCGGAGTGGGACTGGCTCGCGAAGAGATTTGAAGAGGGGAAGGCACACCGATTGCACCTTGCGGGGCATCTGGTCGCGGAGCTGGAATTTGTGTGTAAGTACAATCCTTAGATGTTGAATTGATAAGTGTTTTCGTTTAATAGGTCAAGATTAGACTACTAGAATTGAACTAGAGTTTGAGCTGTCATCCAGAATCAGAGGCTAATTTTGATCTAGACTTTCAATCTGCCAAAAGTTATTCTAGATTTTAAGGGACTAGAGGCTTCTTAGAGTAGCTCTTTTTAAAGTTGGTTAGTTTCTGATTATCTTCTGATTGGTTAGCTCTTCTAATTGTCAAACCCACCATGCGAAGAGAGTCAACGGCGGCTTGGCGGACAACGAGTGGTTGACGGCGATCATAGATGACCTTCTCAAGGAAATGAATGGAGACATCAAGGGCAGAGTTGGCAACAGCCTTGAGGACGAGGACCTTCTCGTAACGGGAAGTGGCCGATTCGAAGAGAGTTTCCCATTCCTTCAACCATTCAGTCTTGAGCTCACGACGGCATTCCTTCTCTCCTTCGATTTCGATGGCCCACGATTCCTTGGTGATCTCCTTCTTTGAGCAGACACCGTTCATCAAAGCTCCGGTGGTGAGAAGGACGGATTGGCGGAGAATTGGCTCCTCACGGCAAACCTTGGACTTGACCAAACGCAAGAGTGAGTTGACAATGTTCTCGGATGGAACACGGGTGTTCACGAGTCCCTTGATGACGATAGCGGCACGGATTGGGGAGATTTCCTTCTTCTCGCATTTCTCAACAAAGTGCTCAATGGTGACCTTGGTTCCGGCAGCAATGAGAGCATCGGTGAGGAACTCGCGAACCTTCTCGATCTTCTCAGCATAGACTTCGGTTTCCCAGAAGTGGCGGTGGATCTCTTGCACCTCACGCTCAGTGCACATGCGGAAGACCTCGACGATGCGGGCAAAGTTGTGGTTTGTCTCAAGGGTGACTCCGTCTTTCTCGGACTCCTCCATCGAGGCAAGGGTGAGGCGGATGTACTTGTCCATGAGCTCCTTCTTGGGGACTCCGGCGAATCCGGTGAGTGTGTAGGATTGCTCGTCTCCGTTCATCCAGAACTTCTCACGGGCCAATTCCATCTCGTAGTTGTAGAGAAGGGAAGACTTCTTTCCGTTGCGGGGCTCCTCAACACGCTCAGCCGACTTGATGTTGACAAGGCGCATCTTTTGGTGGACGTAGGTGGCGAGCATCTCTTGATCCTTCGAGAAGGGGGAGAAGACGTACCTGGAAATGAAATGGATGAATGGTGGATGATCAGTGTTGAAAACCCTAGATTAGATCAATCCCAAATACTCACTCGGACTTGAGCTCGACCTCGGTGATAAGGAAACGCTCCTCATCCTCTCCGCGAACCTTGTAGCTGATGACAGTTTGAGATTCAGGGCGAGCATCGGTGGCCTCACACATGGAGCACTCTGGAAAAAGAGTATTGAATAAGGAGATAATTGGTGGATATCCATTTCTTGATTAACACAAACCAGCGGAGTAACGGGGTCCATAGCGGATATCAATACGCTTGGGGCATTTCTCGAAGTTGAGCGACTTGGTGATCTCTTTCTCCTCGCGGTTCTTCTCCGATTCGACGATTGTGTAGGCGACCTCGCACTCACCCTCGAGGGTGCGCTGAAAAGGGTGAACTTGGGTTTGAGGGCTAGTTCAAGAATGTTTTAGATCAGACTCTAGGTGCTTGATTATCTAGAAATACTGTAATCTTGTGTATCCAGGTAAGAATCTAGCAAAGTACTAGTCTATTTCGGGCTGTGATTGGAGATTTATCAAGTGAAAAGGCTCGATTAGATCGGAACTTTCTATCAAATCGTTCTATTAATCTCATTTTCCATCCTCATCCAAATCTACCTCGGTGACGGTGAAGAACTTGTTGTTGGAGACGGTCTTCGTGTTGTACTCCTCTTGGGTCTTGCGTGGGCTCATTTGAACTTGGAGCATGTTAAGAATGGAGCGCTTGATGTTCTCCGACCAGGCGGATTCCTCCTCCGAGAAGACGATCTGAAGAAGGGAATGATTGGAATGGAAAGGATTAGGATTCGAATCTTTTGGCCAAATCTCACCTCAGAGATGATTCCTTGGTGGTAACGGAAGCGGATTGGAAGCTTGATTTGCTCGCGTTGCTCGGAGGTCAATTGCGACTCCTCGAGCGACACCTGGAAATGGGGACCATCA